CAACCCAGCCGACAAACCCAGTCGATGGGGTCGGCGGGTCCGTACCAAGTACCGGAATGCCTAAAAGGGTCCTAGAAGCGGCTACACCAGAGGAGCGAATGAAGGTCCGTAGACGGATGGGGACGTTGCGACAGCTTACGGTGCAACCTAGCACTAGACGCCGATATGACAAGGCGCTTCAAGAATTCTTTGCCTTCCTGAAGTCCGAAGGACTTGAGCTCCCCACTGACAAAGCGAAACTCGACCCCATTGTTTGCGATTTTTTAGAAACTTTGTGGTACAATGGCAAAGGACGCGCGCAGGCTTGTGATACCCTAGCTGGGCTGCAGGATTCACAGCCAGGTCTGAGGAATCATACGCCAGGAGCATGGCGGCTCCTGCGCACTTGGCAGGCCAACGAGATTCCGTCTCGCGCGCCGCCCCTGCCTGAACATATCGTCCTCGCAATGGCAGGATGGGGATTGTTTAAAGGTTGGGTATCCTTTGCTTTGTCGCTGTTAGTGGGATTTTATTCGATGTTGCGCACAGGCGAAATTCTGGGTTTAGTGTCGGCCCATTTGCAGTGCACCGAAGGCCAGCTGCAAGCGCTGATCTCTTTAGGGTTTACCAAAGGCGGAAAACGCCATGGGGCTGCAGAATCAGTGGTCCTTGGATATGAACCAGTGGTCCGGTTTCTCCGCACATGGAAGAAGGTGGCAAACACTTCCACCCGTCTTACTCCACCACCAGCTAAGTGCCGCGCCCTTTTCAACGCTTGCCTCGAAGGGCTTGGCATTGCCAACTTAGGCTTCCGGCCCTACTCCCTTAGGAGGGGGGGGGCCACCTTTTGGTCTCAAGAACACAACAATCTCGATAGAATCCTTGTGCAAGGCAGGTAGCGCACACAGAAAAGTGCCCGCATTTACCTCAACGAAGGGTTGAGTGTGTTGGCGCAGATGAACGTGCCCAAAAGTGATCCTCGTTTAAAGCCCTTTCTGACTGTTTACAATAGCTTCATCCAGTCCCCGAAAATCTCCACGCTTGAGCCTCCGACCAAAGGCGGAAGGTCAGGGGGCAGTGGAAGGGACAGAAAGAGCAAGCCGAAGTCTGCTCGAAAAAGGGGGACATGAGAGCCTTTTTCGCTTTTATTCGACCGTCAACTAGTAGGTTACTATCACCCACGAATTCGTAGGAGTGGCTCGTTCAAAGGTGAAGTAACCAGGGCATACTCTCACACTCAGGGAGTGGCCGGGTGTGAGGGGTCGACCCTTCTACTCACTAGGGAAGTCAGTGTTACTTGTTGATCGGTCATTCTGTTCCATTAACTTTTCTGTATTTGTAATATACATAATATATGTATATATATTATATAACGTATATATAATATAAGTGTTATTTTCTATTTGAGACAGGAGGGGGAGGAGAGAGAGGGGAGGAGAGCGGATTGCATGTGGTTTTGCTTCTCGTGCTATGCCTGTGCCCTTTGGCACCGTGCCATGTCTTTCGTGCACTCCGCTGTGCCTATTTTGTTTGGAGGTCGCGCCGCGCCTTTTGGTCACATTCCGTGCCTTAGGGGGGACTACCTTATATATATATATATTATATGTGCTATATTTGTGTAGTGGCCTGCCGCGCATGTAGGCATTTATTTCGGTAGCCGGTAGCCATGGAAGACAAATTGAAATGGCCAAGGTTGGAAATGAGGCTCTATGCCAAAGGGCTTCGTGGTGGCGATGGGTAGTGCCCTCAAGCACATCATCAGGCAGTAACAAGGACGCTATTAGGTGGAGGCCGTCGCAAGTAGGTTGGAGGCCATTACTGCTAGTAGCAAGAAGATATTAGATTGGAGGCCATCGCTACTAGGAACATGAAACTGCTAGTAGCAAGCAGTTGAACTCAGTGGCTCTTGATGTCTCAACAGGGGGGCTTTGTTGAGGCAGTGCGCTGTGGCCTTGCGATTTCCTGAGGCTTGGTGTTTTGGGTCGCCCATGGTCGCCCTGTACACGGTTTGTTTGACCGAAATTGTTTACTTTTCAAGCAGAGAGCCACTACCTAAAAGGTTCTTAAAAGGCTAAAAACAGCTAAAGAGTTTGTGAAGCCTTGGTCCAGAGAAATATATGCTGTAGATGCTGGTAGTGCAGCAGGTTGTCCCACAATTTCATTTTTTTGCTGTCCAAACGATTTTAGGCGCATTTGCAGAGTGCAGTCCCCCTGATGGTGGATCTAATGGACAACCCGGCTTGCTTTCGATTGTCTGCAAGCAGCAGAAGAAGAAGAAGAAGAAGAAGAAGAAGAAGAAGAAGAAGAAGAAATGAAAGTAGCTTAGCACCTGCTCACGAGCTTGATCTCGGGTTGTCCCAACTTCTGAGAGGTTGTCCGGCTTTGCCGCTTTTCCAAATGCCTTGGCCGGCCAGGTTGGAGATTGCACAAAACGTGCATCCCAAAGTGCAGATCCTGAAGGCCAGCAAGCCCCAGTTTGTTAAAGTGTTCCTTCTTTGTGAAAAAGAACTGCACACCGCATAGATTAGAAACAATATGCTACTAGGAACAAGTGCATCGCTACTAGTAACAAGTGCATCGCTACTAGTAACAAGTGCATCGCGACTAGTAACAAATGCATCGCTACTAGTAACAAATGCATCGCTACTAGTAACAAATGCCTTACTAGTAGTTTTGGCTCCTAAGTAGAGCCATCACAAGACCGATGTTTAATCGTACCGGCGGGTCCATTGAAACCCTGAGCCCACGAGTTGCAGCAAGGGTTTGTTGGAGGGAACCATTCAAACAGCTAGCAAGCAGACGAACATGGCCGTTTCCAAGACAAAAAGTGGCCAAGGTTTGGAATCAATGGTGTGGCTGGCTGAATCGATGGGGTCCTTGGATGAGCATTTGGTGGGATGCTGAGATGGGTGAGACAAAAGTCATGTAAGCAAACCACGATTTTTTGTTTGGACTCTTGTGCGACCCTGCTTTCCGCGAGAGATATACTTGTTATATAAGTTTCCCTAAAATCTAGGAACCAAACGATTGGTGCGAGCTTCCTTGAAGCGTGAGCTATCCTGCGTCCATATGTAGTAGCTTAAGTAGCTCAAGTTTTCCCTTACTTAAGGGGCGCCTAATTAATTAAGCAAGGGCAGGCTTAAAGAGGAACTCGTTCAAAGCTCTTTCGAAGCCTGTTTTTTAGTTCTTTCATGTTCTTTCCAGGCTGACGACTCTGCGGAGCTGATGCTTCGGACGGAACTGCCGTAGATGGCTCAACTTGTTTCTTTTTTCGAGCGATTGCAGCCATTCTCACAGGCAAAGAGTGGATAGGGAACAGGTGAGCAACGCCAAGCTTCAGCACGACCTATGTAAAACACATGTAAAACTCTTGAGTCGATGTAGATGTAGACCGTAGAACTGTGTCAGGCTCTTGACTGCACCAGCTCTGCTGGCAAGTCGTGCTCCATCAAGCTTGGGGTCCGTAGGCACCGCAACCATTTGAGTTGGGTCTTTGTTGAAAGTTGAAAGACTTCGTCGCACAGATGACCTCCGCACTGAGCTGCCAAAGCAGGCCCTTTTGTGCTTTGGGATCCGGATGCATTCGAGTCATTCGAGTTCTGAATACTTCGAGTTCATTTGCTTGACATTTGCAATCCACTCTCCGATGCTGCTTGGGAAGATACATCCGCTCTCTGATGTCGTGCGGCCATCTCAAGGGGCAACGTTTGTGCCTCAGGTTTTGTACTGTTGTGCAACATATTCGTATATGTTCGTCTTCATCCACCCTGAGTTAAACCGACTCAAATATTCTTGGTGATCGAACCGAGCGAGGCCCTTCAGCTTCAGTGACATGCTATGATCTCAGAGCAAGCTGTGAAGCCTTGTAGTAAACATGAAGCTTAAGTTTCCCTCAAAATCTAGGAACCAAATGAATAGTGTGAATCCTGCGTCCTAGGTACATAGTAGCTAAGAAGTAGCTACTAACTACCTCTTCTACTAGCTACCTATGCTACCTCTTCTCAGCCTCCCCCCTGGGCAAAAAAACAAACATGCTGAGGGGACGTGTTCGAGACCTGCGTGGTGTGCTGCTGACCTGGACTTTGCTTTCTTTCAACGAGATCATGACATCAGCTTTAGCAAAGACGAGGGTTGGCTGCTGATTTGCGCCCCCTAGGTTTTTCTGGGCACCATATCAAACACCTCCGGTGCAAGCCACATTTCACGTTTTGGATTTGTCGTGGCACATGGCAGGTTCCAAGCCGCGACCTGTTCACCACTCAAGTTTTAGCAAAGGCAACAACTCCCCACTGCTTGTAACACTCCGGGGCCAAGCCAAGGCCCACACTGCCTATCTCCGATCCCAGCCAGAGCAGCTAGAGCCTGAAAGATTCCAATGAATATCAAGCACCTAAGACTAAGACCTAACATTGCTCATTCTGCTGACATTGGGCAGAACGGGCTTTTGTGAGGTGGAGTATTCTCACTCCGGGGCAGCTGGGCACCTGGCAAGGCGAAAATTGTGGGTCAAGAGAACCAATTTGTGCAGGTTGCATTGGTTTTGGTCCAAACGATGCATCTATTCAAAGAAGGCAAACAACAAGTTGAAGGTCGTCCGAACAGTCAGAATGCAATTCATTTGTGATTTCCTGTCACTTGCACGTAACATTTCGCAAGGCCAAGCCCTTTGATGAGCTCTTGGTGCAGACTGGACAGAGGTTCGAAACATGGAATTTATGCAATTTGTATACAGCAGTGGAGTTTACGCAGTGGCCACAGGAAGCCTATGATTGAAGCAGTCTTTGTGTGACATGATTGAATCATATTCATATTGAAGCTATTTGAGCATTTCTGTCCCAGGATTCATTTCCATGTTTTTCTGATGTCAGGAATCTCTCTGCTGTCCCCGATGATGCTGCACGGTAGCTAGGACCATGCTCTGCTGCATTTCCGGAGAAAAGCTGCTAACTGCGCACAGTCTCCCAAAGAAGTTGTACAGTACCTTCTTGATGAGTCTTTTTACAGAGTTCCTCACCACATTTGTCTTGAAATGAAATGATTGCAAGGTATACAAGTCATATCACCAGTCATCTCAGAGATGCAAGGGGGTTGCTTAAATTAGCTGTTCTCGCCAGCGTGGCTTTCCGGTGTCCACCGAACACGTACTCTTCTTGCTTTTGAACCTTCTGCTTTGGGCCCATGGTGACATGAGCCAGCGCAGCTCAGAGCCAGGCCACTATACCGTATTCTTGCAACTTTCACATTTTGTGCTTTAAACCCAGGGTGCTTCCCGGAGATCCTTCATTGCCTTTTCAGATATCGACCACAGAATGTGTAATTGTCAGGCCCAAGCTACTGGCGTGTCTCTCTGGCATTGGCTCTCAGAAAGCGATCTGTCGAGACCAGTGAGCTTGGCCCTCGGCAACTCGATATGCCAAAACGCATGCTGACAACATGAAAGGGATGACAGCAATATGAAAGGAACGAGAACCCGGACGCTGCACTTGTTGCTAGTGGAAGAAAGCGGGTTTGTTAGTCGCATAGAAGTAGAAGGGAGCACTAAGGCCCAAACAAACGCACATTCCAAGAGCACTTTGGTTTTTAGCACGTGGGTTTATTTGAACTGTTCAAAAGGTAAGCGTGTGCTGAAGTCACATCACCTGGTGCAGCATACCTCATGTCAGGACCGAAGCCCTTCAGCGCCGTCTCACTGCCTTGGACCTCACCCTTATCGGTGCCTCCTGTCAAATAAGAGAAGTTTAACATGAGAGTCCACTAGACCTGAGCGCTCCACAGTGTGAAACGAGTGAATCTAACATGCAAATGCTGCAACCCCAAGAAGGCCAACCTGCTGAGGTGTGGGTGCGAGTGTTGGAGCAGGTGTGGATGAAGTGCAGAGAGCAGAGACTTTATTTGTGATGCTTGTTTCTGTTGGTATACAGATGTTTGTTTGGAGTCCCGTGCGCAAACCATGGGCTTGCCCTCCTTGAATTTGCGAGAGGCATTTTTGTCATCACTGGCATCGCTGCCAAACCCACTGGTCCTGCAGTCTGTCACTGGGAAGATGATGTAATGTATTTTGATTTCAGTTGTCATGCCCTCTACTTCCAAGTGCAATCGAAAAACCTTCCGAGACTGAGGCTTCTCTTTCTTGCTGGCCGGCATAAGCAGTGCCTTGCAATAAGCAGAGAAACACAGCAGTATGGCTTGCTGTGGTGTTGCCCCTCCTGCGGACCGCGCCGCAATGCATCACACTAGGGCCACTAGGGAGTCTTCGGCAGATCAAGGGGTGGACAATTCCCGCGATGATATACCAACGGGGCAATATGAGGGGATGTTTGATTGTCTATCTCACATGTTCCCTCCATGACACCTTTGATTTGCGCTTTGCCTTTATTGGCCTACTACTCCGCTGGCATGTCCTTTAGTCAGGCATGGTATTGTCTGCACAGAACAAGTCACTGGAAGGTCTTCTGCACTTGAACCTGTTCAACGTGCGTCGCAGCAGACTAGTCCAAGCCAACTCCAGCAACAGGTCCTTCACTGTAATGTTTCTGCGCCTTCGGTAATTTTCATTCGTTTTCCAGAAACGCACTAAGGTCTCCAAGAAGCAAACCAGGAATCAATCGATGCTTTCCTCAGGAAATCTCTGCTTTGCCGTGCTTTCCTCAATAACTAAAATCTGACTGATCACTCTTCTTGCTTTTCTATATATATTACGAAAGCCAGCCGATAGGCTAGGCTTGAGCTCTTAGAGCAAACGAAATGAGTTAAGGGGGTGTGGGGGGGGAGGGCGCGAAAAGGCACATTTTGAGAGGGTGAACCCGGAGCTTGGTGGGGGAGAGCGCTCCAAAGCGAGGGTCAGAAAAGCAGTGAAAATGGGGTCTGGTGGTGCGAGTGATGCAATGGACGCCGAGTAGTGCATCATTCTATTCCTGAGCAGGGCATAGGGACTGTGTAGCTCTGATCATACCAAGAAGGACCAAGCAACAAAGAGTGAACGCTCTGGGAGCGAACGATGTGAGTATGTCCAGTTGGGCGAGGTAGAGGCTTGGGGATAAGAGAAGCAAGAAAGCTGCAAGCGTTCAACACTTCATGCTGTGCTCCGATCTTGATCTCAGTCGCAGTGATGCCAGCTCCACGAAACTACAAGCTTTCAACTATAGGTGCTCTGCTATTTTTTCCTTAATCTGTGCTCTGCTACTATTTTTCCTCCCAGCCTGCTCTCTATAGGGCTTCGCATTGATGCACGATGCCCGAAACACATTTCAACACAACCACAAAAACCATTTCGGGCATGTTTCTCCTGGTGTTCACTAACGTTTATTTTTGCACGGATTCTCAAATAGAACACCAACAAGGGACGCTCCAGAAGGTGCCGCGCCAAGCAAATCAAGAATACTAAAAACATTCAACACTCCATGCTGTGCTCTGATCTTCATCTACGCCGCAGTGATACCAGCTCCACGAAAACTACAACCATTCAAGAATGAGTGCTCTCCTCCTCTTTTTCTCCCAGCCCTGCTCTTTATAGGGCTTCGCATTGATGCACGATGCCCAAAACACGTTTGAAAACAACAAAAAACCCTCTTTCGGGCATCCTTCTCCTGGCCTTCACTGACGTTTATTTTGACGCGGATTCTCAAATAGACCACCAAACACGGACGCTCCAGAGAGCACCGCGCCAGGAAAACCGAGAAAACCTAAACATTCAACACTTCATGCTGTGCTCCGATCTTGATCTACTCCACGTTGATACAAGCTCCACGAAAGCTACGGGCATTCAACAATAAGTGCTCCGCTATTTTTTCCTCACAGTCTTGCACTACCATATTGGTCTCTCGCTGGCCTTCGTCCTCTCGTTTCTCAGGTATATATATATATATATAAATTCAACCTTTTCCTACTTTTCAGATCCTTTCAGTACACTTCTCTAGCAATTTTGACGCTTCTATGAATATTTTTCTACAAAGCACTACTTTGCTATGCACCAGTCTCTCAAGATCTCTACCACATGTATACATACCGAGATATCTACTTTTACTTTAGTTTTCAGAACATATTTTGTTTGACTTCACACTTGTCCGTCCACATCTCTACTTTGCCCGGGTCTCTCTCTCCGACAACTACACTGTTGCAGAGGCTGCCCGGCAATGTGAAAACGTAGTTTTTCTTGCACCACTCCTATTCCTTTGCACTCCGATTCCTTTGCATGTATTCGGCTATTCTGTTAGTGCACAAAATTCCATTGTTTTCGGCAATTCGGAAGGGGTACGCAATTCGGAAGGGGTAGGCAAAAGCTTTCTCATACTGCTTCGACCGCATTTATTGGCTTTGCCGATTTCTTCTCTCTTTAAACACTTTGCGTTTTTATCCAGAGTACATTTAACTGAGAACCTGTAACGTTGGCAAATTACGTTTTACATCAGTCAGAATTCTTGTTGCTCTGTAGATAGACCAGAAATAGCAGCAACAGTTTTGCTAATATATCTTCCTTAATCTTCCTTATATGTATTGGTGTTTTGTTCATTTACTAGACTTAATACTGATCAACAATCTGAACTTTGCTGATGCTATCATCTAACATGTTGACTTGACCATTCTCAACAGGAGATACAGCAATTGTATGCGAGCTTCAATACCTCTTTCAAAAACCATTTGCACCTGTCAGTGTTACTGTAAATTGACTATACCATTGAACTGTTTGGCAATCTCAGCAACCTTATTTTTTCATTGCTGAAGCAACGCTCATAGAAGGTAAAACAGCTTCTTTGACTTCATCAGAGTTTTTCTTTCACATACCTAGAGTCTAAAGCATTCATCAATGCTACAGACAAAGGAATAGCAATTCCCTGCTGATCATCCTGGAAAAGTTGTATATCAAGCCTCCTCTGCAATTCATTCTCCATAACAGATCAATTAGGAGCTTCAATATCTTCGAACTCAGCACGCCTGCGAGCCAGTACAATTTGCGACTGAGAGTGCTGCAGCATTTAGCAGGATGTTGGACTCTATGGTACTTAGACCCTTGGAGTATTTGACCAAGCCTGTAGTTGAATATTTTTCTGGATTCGATTGCCAAGATTCCCCATACAAGCTTTTCCAGCAATCTTGAATCTGGATGGAACTAGTTGCGACTAGTTGCAAGTTGCAAGAATGGTGGGATTCAAGGTTTAAGCTTGAAGCTATGAGGAACAAGTTTTTCCAGCAATCTTGAATCTGGAGGCAACTATGGTGGGATTCAAGATTCTAGATTCCAGGAAAGGCTTTTTCCAGCACCTTGAATCGTGAATCTTCAATCCCCAGGCAGTTGCAACTACTTGGCTCCAGATTCAAGATGTGAAGAAACACGTTTTCAATAAATCCAGAATCTTGGCTTTCAATTCGGATGCAAGTGCAACTATTTGCAACTAGTTGCCAGTCACCAACCACAACCACATGTAAATGTGCATAATATATATATATATAGATACGCATGCGCTTCTTGAGTGCATACATGTATGCAAGCTTTTAGTGAGCTAATGGCGCTTTGTTTGAGAAATCCCAAAGTGAGACTGAAACTCGAACGGCCCATGCGTATTTATGTTCAAGGGTGGGTTGAGGAGGGTATGCAATTTATGACCCAAGTATGTTGATGTGAAATGAAGAGGGGATTGGATGTTGATGCTGATGATGGGGGCTCCTCTTCTTCTAAGAGGCTAGCAGATGTAATGTCATGTGCTAGATCCTCTGGGTCATACCAACACGTTTCACCTATGCCATGGGAGCTTACACCAGCACTTCGGTCGATCTTTTCTGGAAACTTTACTCCCTGGTTGAATGTGCCTAAGCTGGTGAAGAACGCTCCGCCTTTAGATCCCCCGAGACCTGAATTCAGGGAACAGTCTGTGGCGATTAAGGCTGCTTCGATTCGACATGCAGTTCATATGGTCGCTTCTGAAAAAACTGATGTGGATAGGAATCGGGTTATTCTGAAATGGCTCGAATTAGTTCTGGCTAACCCCACTGGTTCGAGAGTTGGGCTGCAACTGATTTCCGGGAACAATGAAAAGATTGATGAGAACAAGAGCTATAAAATCCTAGAGGACACACTTCGATCTCGGGCAACTTTCGACATTGGAACTGAGGGCCTCCTCTTTGGCTTTATATGTAAAATGGTTTGGAGAGAATTTCAGTGACAGATCATTTCTCCCTTTCAATGAAAATGATGTATATAGTATATACATATATGGATGATCTTCGTACAAAGGGTTGCTCGGCTTCTCGCGGTGCCACTTTTGTCAGTACAAGGGCTTTTGTGGGAGACTTACTAGGAATGACAGGAGTTGCTGAATGTGTGCAGTCTGCACGTGTGAAAGGAGCATCTCTAGGAATGTTTCTGGAGAAGAGGCCACTCCGCCAAGCCCCTGAGTTGTGGCCCATCATGGTCCTCACCTTGGAAATTGCAGCCTTTTGTGAAAAGGACACTTATTTACGTGCTTTGGCTGGGTTTGCACTTTGCTGTATTTATGGACGGCTACGAGTATCGGATCTGAACCGATTAGTTCATATTAGCATCATTGATGAATATGCCGAAGGATCACTCATGCGTGTAAAGACGGCAAGGACGAAGGAGAAACAGTGTACGTTCCTTCCAGTGGTTATTCCAACAAAAGGTTTTCTTGGCGTTGATTGGTTTACTGCATTTGTGACTACGAGGAAACGTCTTGGCTTAGCTGATTTTCCTACTTTGGAGTCAAAGGCGTCCGACAGGAAATTCGTTGTGCTACCGTCGGAGGACTCAGTGCATTTGGAGCTGTGTTCAAAAGTTAGCACTACTCAGGTGACCGAAGGCCTCCGAACTTTGTTGGGAAAGGTTTTTGCAGAAAGCCAGATTTCTGACATTACTTCCCATTCTTTGAAAGCAACTGTTTTGACATACGTGAACATAGCTGGTATGGATCCGATGTACTCGGAACTTTTGGGCTACCACCTGACTATGCACAAGTCAGCCATCAATTATTCTCGTAGTGCCCTTGCAGCGCCTATCAGAGAAATGATGCGGATCCTGCATTCGATTCAAGAAGGATCTCTCAGAGAAGTGGCGTGTACCCTGAAAGCAGTGAGTGGCAAGAAATTGCTGAACAGCTGAAAGGGTATTGTGGCATGGATTTTATGGAGTTCGCAGAAA